ACTTGGCTTAATAAATTGCCTGGATACCACTGCATCAAGTGTCACTTTGTCCAAAGCCTATCTGTTCTCTGAACCTCTTACACCTTCCCAGTGATGCCCACATCCCATGACTCAACAAAAAAATATTGTAGTCTGTGAGCATCGGCAAACTGTTCAACTGCATGGTCATCATAACTAATTTCCCAAAGATTGAAACAAGCATATCTTCCAACAGGTCTAACTGAACAGTGATCAAATAAAGGAAAAATGGGTCAGATCTTTCAATGATTGCAGATTGACATCCAACCATTTTTTAATGAAAGTAGGGAGCTCTGCATTTCCAAAAGGAGATTCCACTCAGGGCTCTCTCAGGAATGAGGAGACTTGATTTCATTTTGACAGTTCTGTGGTAGCACAGAACTGTCAGATGAAGGCAAACTATGCCCTTTCCATAGCAGACAGTGGTGAATTCTGAAATCTAAAGGCCCCAACAGCTGCTTTGACAGCTGCAGTTAAAGGGTGAGCCCGTGAGGTAAGTGTGAGAATAGTGTACTGTGAGGGTTGACTGTCATGTGATATGGGGTTGGATGCCAGGATTACAGTGCCAAGCATGTAGGCTACCAGGGTGCCAAGTGAGTAGAGGAGGCAGGGGGTGCCAGGTAGGTAGGGTATCAGCTGGGGAGGAGTAGAATGCCAGATGGCTCCCAGGGGTTTGTCGGTTCCTGAAACAGGTGTCCTAGGAGGGTTTATGTGGCCCCTGAAGAGTGTAGGGTCCCGGTGTGTGGGCATGTCGGGTTTGACGGGGAGAGGGGCAGGGGAGTTGTGGTCCTGAGTGGTAGGGGATTGGGTCCCAGGCCAGTGGGTGTCAGGTCCTATGGAGGGTTATTGAGTCCAGGGGTATGGGTTGTCAGGGTTTGAATCCATCAATTCAACTTGGATTTGAGGTTAAACAAATTTGTTTGGATGATTTTGCATCTGTATACCAAGACACATTGCTCTTTTGTTAACAAATAAGCACAACATTCTAAAAATATGGTGGGTGGAGAGATTTCCTGACATCACTTTGCTTTTCTCCTCAATGACAAAATCATGAATATCACCCCATAACCTGTGGGTTTGAGGGGGAATTCATCAATTCAGGTAACATCAGAGCAACAGTGTCTACAGATTCTGATCACACTCTTTCCTCTCTCTCTCAAACATATACCACAATTACCTAGATTATGATCACACAGCAAAGTCTCTCTGTGCTGTGTTACGTGTTATTATTTCCTTTTGTTTGGAAAATAATTCATTGCTTTTCAGTCTTAACCACCTGAAGCTAGTAAAACAAATGTATTTTTTTTTCAAAATAATTCTGACATTTGGGTATATTATGTGATTTGCTGTGCAATAATAAAAGGATTTACTTTACTAATTTTAAAAATATTCTCAATGAAACATTTGTACTAATACTGTTTGTTTTAATTCATTCACAGGATGAGGGCTTTGCTGGTGAGGCCAGCATTCATTACCCATCCCTAATTGCCCAGAGAGCAGTTAAGAGTCAATCACATTGCTCTGGGCCTGGAGTTGCATGCAGCTCAGTCCAGGTAAGGATGGCACTTTCCTTCCCTCTAGGACATTAGCAAACTGGATGGGTTTTTCCTGACAATTGACAATGGATTTAAGGTCATCATCAGACTCTTAATTCCAGATTTTGTGTAAAGTATTATCAGGCTGACGGTAACTGCTGCACCCGTCCCCTCCCAACAGCAGATGGGAAAATACTAAGGGACAGATGAAAAGGAAAACAAATGGGGAACACATCCCTAACTCATGTTGTCATTTCACAGCAGTGGACAATGTGGTGCACTGGTATGAAGAAGCAGGACAATTCATTTGCAAATTGAAATCAAGATCTCACAATGTAATTTAATAATTGTCACAAAGGTTTCCCAGGGATGTTTCACCCTGTTCCTCAAAGAACCTTGACATCCCTTCTGTCAATCATACACAACATCTCTCTAATGCCAAATGGTGGGTAACCTACCCCAGTGTTCTCCATTAGCCCATCAACAAAACCTGCTCCCATATCTTATACCTGGCATTCTCTGTCCCCATGATGTAAGCTCTGCCCTCTCCAGTTCTGATTTTGATCTATGCTCAACAGGACATGAGTTTGTTCATTAAAGTTCATGGTTGAGGTTGTATAACTATGGAAGGCCAAGAAAATCATTTGTACATGATCGCATTTCAAAACAAACAAAATACAAAATGCATACATCCTAACATACAATTTGAGCTATCCAAGTAAGCCAAAATGCACACCATTGATCTTTTGCATTGGCACTTTGGTCTTCTTGTTCGTTTCTTCATATGGATTGCATACCTACACTGGAATCTTCCCAGGTACTGAATAACATGGAATTTGTCAAGAAGCTTAAGAGAATCACATGAAAATGGTAGGTGCAACTTTTCGGCTTCGAAAGCAAAATGTCCCATTTTCCAACCAAGTGTTGAACAGTGAGATGAGATTCTTGCTAGTAAGCACCAAGACACTGTTGACAATCATTAACATCCTCATTATTACATAATCTCACCTAATCGATACTGAGTTTTAGGACATGGAGGGTTCTCTGGACTTGGTGGTCTCCCCCTCCCCCAACTGTGCATCAACCCCGAGTGTGTATCCACTCTATATCTCATTCCGTGCCAAAATGGATTAAACTCCTACTAACAGCACCTGCAGTGTTCCTTGCAAGAATATTGGTCCCATTCTGGTTCATCTCAACCCATTGGACTTGTACAAGTTCCACCTTCCCCACCTTCTTGACTACCTGCATGCCTCCCTTCTTCCTAACTTCCAGTCATTCTCTGACTTCATTTTCTTAAACTGCACAGAGATCACATTTAAAAATGTGCTATCCACATAACTCTCAGCCTCACAGATGCACTGGTATGACTAATGCCAATGATCAAGTTCCAAAATCCAGCATTCAAACTGATCAAACCTGCAGATATGCTCATCCAGATTGCCAGGAGTGTCTAAGACTTCCCACATACTGCAGGCTGGCAGTATCTTTAATTAAAATGCTCTTCCCTAAATTTCAGTGAAGTAGAAACTTATTTAAAGTTCCCTTTTTCCTAAAAATAAGCTAGAACTCTTAACTAACCTTCATGCAGCATTAAAGTGGAGAAAAAATAATCTTACACTTTACCTACCAATCGGCTCTCTGTTTTGCACTTACGTCCTTTTTGTCAGCCTTTTCTAACACTGGTGGAATTCCTCTTGGAATTTAGTTGCTTCTTTTGTTCGCTTGATCTCTCACTCTTACTCCCACCAGTTTTATGCCCCTGAACTGCTCTCTTCTCCTTTGTACGATATCTTCCAAAGTATTTGCATCCTTCTCTTTGTCAATGATCATTCTGCCATTTTGGCCTATTGGATCTAAAAGAAGAATGCAAGTTCTGTTCTATTGTGTCAAGAATATGCTCTAGTTGATAAATTCCAACCTTTATGTTTCTCCACGTTTTGATCACTTTCTTAATAGTAAGTTTGTCCTCTTGGAAGAGACAGCTCTCACTGCAGGATCTCTTATGCCTAATATAATCTCTTAGTAGATCATTTTTTATTAGAACAAATTCATAGCATTCTGTGAACTATGTTTGGGATCTTCTTCATCTTCGATCCTAATATTAAATACATTGCATTCATAATCATGTTCAGTCAAGGTTTAAAGCATATCTTTAAGGCTTCTGAATTTTCTACAGGAATTTTTTTGTCCTTCAGGGAGATTTAAGATGGAACATACTTTGAAACAATCTCTTCCCAACAGTTTTAAGAGCATAACTACATTTAGCTGCTCTGGTTTTTAAACAGATCTGTTACAATTTCATGATTTTGCCATAGCATGTGAAAAAACTGCTAATTCTGATGCATATCAACTTCAATTTCAACACAAGCTGGTATATGAAAAGTTGTAACCATTGTGTCTTACTCTGCAGTTTGGCTTGCATCCTTGGGCCTTTTCAGTAGCAGCTTGTAGCAGCTTTCACCGCTCTGAACATTCTCTCTGGCAGTAACTGTAAATTTTTACAGCTTCATCTCTCACACAAAGGTCTACATTCACAGGACACCTGTCTTATCTCCAGTGTGTCTTTACTGAAGTATCTATAAGATGGCTGCCTCCAGTGTGTGTGCACCTCACAATAGAATTCACATGGTTACCGCAGTCCGGAAAGGTCATTTGTACCTAGTTGCATTTCAAACTAAACAGATATCCAGTTTTCTCCTTCATGTGCTTGCTCTTTCAACCATCCCTTGCATTGATCTAAAGTCTTTTCTCTCCCACGCCATGAAGCTCTGGTGTCCAACTTTCTGTCATTAAATACTTCTCTCTCCCACCCTACAGCTCAAATCTCCAGTCTTTCATCTACCTAACTGACAGGTTCATTCTCAAGAACCCCCAACTGCAATGTGCTCCCACTAGCTCTGCATTCCAATCATCATCACATTCTCTAGCTATTTGCATCCTTCACTGTGGTTCCCTACTTCCCTGTAAATATCAGTGCTTCTGATCCCTACAATCAATGACTATTTCTGCATAAGTGTAACAACACATAAATTAAACCTTTAAATTTTAGCACAATTTGCAACACATTCGAAATTATATTACAGTTAAAGGAACAACAACTAAGTAGCAGATTAGTTATAATGATTTGTTGTAGAGTTTTTATGATTAAAGCTGAAGAAATCTATAACAAAACTCATAAGCAGTCAGTTCTGAAAGGATTAAATAATGATGTGTATATTGTATCATAACTACAACCAAAGAAAAGGACTAGGTACGGTGACATGAGAATAAGTTTCAAAATTGTTAAAAATCAAGGAACAGTAATCCATGAAAAATCAGAAATAAATCATTTCGTGCAAACAACTCACTGTAACTGTTACTTAAGGAAATAACATGCTGAAGTAAATAAAGCTAAACTTTCTCTAAATCTAAGGCATGCTACTTTTGTTTTAAAGGCATATTTACCTCAATCTTTGTTAAGAGATCGTGTAGCTCCCCTGATTCATTCATTGACAATATTTTCTCTGCACCCTGTTAGCAAATAAATGCATAATAGCACTAAGAGAAGCTTCACAACAAATCCCTAAGTGTAGGAACATTGAACACATATATTAAAGTTAAACTCTTTGTTGCATTGATTTTTCCCCAAATTCTTCCCTCCATCCCCTAAAGGCAATGATGTTTCATGATATAGTGCTAATGTACTTTACCCCACTTGATCGGTGCAACCCAATGGGGAATGCATAGGCATGTTGTTTGACAGTGGGAGCAGTAAAGGGTGGTGCTGTTTTCACTTGGCGATTTACAGCAGCAATCAGAGGATTACGAATCGAATATTTTGTACCTTTTCTAAATCTGGATTTTGGGGACATTTGTCACATTCCAACTGCTGTTTTGCATGCACTGAACTGACACAACAAGGGTCAAAGATCAAAATGAAGAGTATAATGCCCAGGTTTTCACCATTCCATTTGTTCTGATGTATTGCCAGGAATAATGAAGTTACTTCAATATATTTTGGTAAGCACCTCCTTCATGCTGTTGACAGTTACATTGCAGGACAACAGTTCAGGCATTATATACATTTGACACATTCAATATCATTGTGTGTTAAACAGTAAAGCCTCAAATGGACTATATTATCAACATAGCTAGTTGTATACAATCAAATTCAGATATATTGGTGAAAATTCTTTTGTGCTGAACCATCTAATTATATTGTACAGTTAAGCCTTATTGGAAATCTCTGCCTCAGAAGATGGTGGAGGCAGGAGCCATTAAACATTTTTAAGGCAGAGATAAATAGATAAATAAATGTTAGCTACTAATACTCCCCGTTAGCAGTTATTGATTCTCCTAGGCTGACTGTTATCCAGAGACAGCAAGAACTGCACTTTCTGGAGTCAGAGTCAACACATTGTGGAGCTGGAGGAACACAGCAGGTCAGGCAGTATCACAGCAGGTCTGTTCTGAAGAAGGGTCCCAACCCGAAACGTCAACTTTCCTGTTCCTCTGATGCTGCCTGACCTGCTGTGTTCCTTGAGCTCCTGACTGTTATCCACTCCTGTGTCTGTCCAACTGTGCTTCTCTCTCTCTGGGCTCTATCTCTACATATCATTTACTCCTTTCCCCCTCCCTCCATCCTATCGTCTGCATAAAAAACAACCTTTTTTCTTAGCTACCATCAGTTCTGAAGAAAGGTTACTGGACCTAAAACATTAACTCTGTTTTCTCTCCACAGATGCTGCCAGAACTGCTGAGATTTTTCAACAATTTCTTTTTTCGTTGTAAATAGATTCTCATTTGGTAAGAGACTAAAAAGTTATCATGCTTGGGTTAATGTGAATGAGGAATTTGAAACACAAACAGAGCAGCCATGATCGTATTGAATGTTGGAACAGGCTTAAGAGGCAAAATGGTCTACTTCTGCTCCAATTTCACAGGTTTGCTTTTATCAGTGATGCAATCAGAGCTGGACTGGTCATTTTCCTTATCTGAGAATGTAGAATTGGTCAGTGATTTTGTATGCAATTGTTGACAACATTTTAAGAACAAACCAAATTACAAAGTTCTATCTCTTATGTGTATCGAGTCCATTCCCTCCAGCTACATCATCCTCACCAGAGGTCTACTTGATCATTATTCGAGTTTGTTACTCCCTGCTGACTTGCTTTATTATCACTGGCTGCTACATGTTCTTTAAACAGCTTTTACAAATTAAGCGCAAGTGGACATAATTATTTTCCACTGATTTTCCATTCCAATCTCACAGTGTCTAGCTGCTGCTCAGCACCTTCTCACTAAGCTCAAAGTAGTTTGAAAAATATTCAGATAAGATGGGGTGATCTGAAAGTAGCCCACAGCCTTTTCGCCATAGCACATTATGTTTTACGTGGGTCTGAAAGGGGCAATACTTAATTGAGTGCAGTCAGCATCACCCACTGTGGAGTATTCGTGAAAATTTCAGCGGAGTAAAGTAGGGAGCTAGTAGGGGACCGACCCAAGGCTACTATGTACTTAACAGTCTCTCTAGTAATAACAGTATATTTATGCAACCTCTAAATAGTTGCAGCTATGCATTCAACTTCTTATTGTTCATTTAACAAGACTCTTCCAGTTAAACCAGAAATGTGGCTATCGCATCCATGCTATATCATTTGGGCTTGAAGAAACCTGTACAATCTATTGAATATCTAATTTGCATATTTTTTATTTAATTAATAATTGCATCAGTTTTTAAATGACCTATGTTAATATTGACAGTCCCATTTTTCTAATATTTAAAAAAGTGTTTCTCTTGACGTCACTAACAAGTATCTTTTCAAAATCATTTCCTTCAAACATTGCAGTATAATCAGAAAATTGTGTTAAAATTGCCTTGAGTTTCTTTAATGTCAATGTAAAAATAGTCAGGTAAAATCCCTCTGCATGTTATTTTAACAAAATTATTTACAGACTTTGACAAGATTAATTTTAATGGGATGAGGACAGCAACCTAATCAAGACCATAATTATGTAAAATTGAAGGTGAACAGTGGGAAGTGACCAAAATAAAGTCTGGCTTTATGCAGTACCGAGATAAACTCCTAACGGGAAAGAGTTCAGTTCATGAAATTAAACAGCTATGGTCAACAAAAGAAGCGATAAGGAACATATAACAAAGGGAAAGAGCCCAGAAGTGAAAGCAATAGTGTAAATCTAGGACGCTATGAGAGAAATAAAACATAGCTGAAGAAGACAGTAAGAGCTACAGAGAAAGGAATATGTAAAGAAAATTCTGAGTGGCATCAAGACTAACACAAAAACGTTATCATAATTATATCAAAAGGCCTGTCAAAATTAACCCTGTTAGGGTAACATTGCAAATGAAAACAAGGAAATTTGAAACGTATTCAGCCATTTTAGAAAACATTGGAAATACTCAGCTGCTCACAATGCATCTGTGGGGAGGCAACAAAGTTGACATTTCAAACCTATACCTTTCACGTTCCAGAACTGGAGAAAATGAGAGATGGAACAGATATTAAGCAAATCTAAGGGCAGGGAGTCAGTTTTCAGCCATTTCCATTCACTCCACAAAATATTAAGAAACAGCTGAAGACATCAGATACTGGAAAGGCTGTGGGCCTGACAACAATTCGTACTGGGAACTTGAGCTCAGAACAAGCCGTACCCCTAGCCAAGTTGTTCCAGTATGACTACAATCATGTGTCTTTAAACTAAGGAAAAATGAACGATACCATGTGACTTACCTGGTGGAAGCAGGCACGTTAGCAACTTTCAAGGCATATCTTGATAGACACATGAGTAGGAGGCAAACAGAGGGATAGAGACCGCGTATGGGCAAGAAACCACGTATGGGCAAGAAGTAGGGGGTCTAAATAGGGATTAGGAATCAGCGCAGGCTTGCAGAGTTGAAGGACCTGTTCCTGTGGTGTGTTGTATTGTATTTCTGCTTGACAGCAAGCCTGGGTGTTCTGATTGTTAGCGATTAAAGAGTATTCAGATTGTTTTCCTGGAATAATGTGCAAGGTGTATACATTTGGAGACAATGGCAACAGTCTGTGTTCTGAAGATAAACTGATAAAGCTCAAAACGTTGAGAATATCAAATTGTCAAGTGTAGTGCTTTAAAATATCTATTTACTTCTAAGATAAAAGAGAGTTGGGTCACAAGACTAGCTAATTAACATCTCTACCAGGATTGGCCTTGGCCTATGCAATTCATGTTGCCTTGGTAACTGGCTTCAAGATGGGAAGGTTGCAGATGGAAGGGTACATAATGATAGTGAGTTATAGATTTTCTTGAAATGTCAATGAACGTCACCGACATGTTAGTCTCTCGGGTAATGTTTCCTTTAATTACTTTTTCTGCAGGGCAGAGCCCTGAGGTCTATGCATGGCAACAGCTTCTGAAATTTGAAGTCAATGCACCAGCATACCAATTGGTGTGCTCAGAACCACCAAGTGGCTGCATGGCTTAGAAGGAACATTGCTCTGTGGGTTCAGGAAAGAGAAAGAGACAGATAGAGAGAAACAGAAAGAGAGAGAGAGAGAGAGAAAAAAAACTAGACTCTGCACATCTCTACAGTTTGCCATCCCAAAAGGCTTGTGTAGATTGGAAAAACCAAATTCATAGGGAGTTAGAATGTGGATGGAAGACTTAGCTAGAGGGAGAATCCCCAACAAAACTTATAACATGACTGATAGTAATGCAGCTACCAGTTATAAGGCTAGACTGTGTTCAGAACAATGTGTAACTTTACGTTTCATTGATATTTTGTATTGTTTTATGTTATGAAGAAGGAGACCTGGTTTTAGCTTAATCTTTAGAGTTGATCTTGTGCCTTTGGTACCAAGATGACTGAAGACCTGTTTGTATAATTGCATTTTTTGTCAAAGGACAGACTTGTCTGTGAGTACTTTGGAATAGTTAATAAAGGTTAATTTCAAAGAGATGATAGAGAAATTCAAAATATTGTTGAAAGTAGGTGCAAAGAAAGTAGAGTATTTGACAAACTAATGGGACTAAAGGCAGACAAGTTACAGCAGAAAAGTGCAAATCAAAGGGATTCCCTTTTCTTGTGCATGAAACACAGAAAGATAGCATGTCGGTATAGCAAGTAGTTAAGAAAACAAATAGAATTCTGGGAATTAATGCTTAGGTACAATCCTGGGAGAGTTGTTAATTAGCTAGTCTTGTGATCCAACTCTTTTTTATTTTAGAAGTAAATAGATATTTTAGGCACTACACTCTACAATTTGATATTTTTAACATTTTGAGCTTTGAACTGAGGAAGTATTGTTACAACTCTACAGGTTATTGGTGGCTAAACCTGGAGCGCTATGTGCTGTTTTGGTCCTCATATTTAGAAAGGATATACTGGCTATAGGAGCTGTTCAAAAGAGACTCACGAGGCCATTATGTGGGATGAATCAGTTGACTTATGAAGAATAGCTTAAAAGGCCAGGCCTCCATTCATCAGTGTTAAGAAAAATGAGACATCTTCCTACTGAAACAAATTGGATTGT